GCGCGACGAGGCCGCGGCGGCGGCGGCGACGACGACGACGACGACGTTGACGACGACAGTGACGACGAAGGCGACGGGGACGACGACGACGACGGCGACGACCACGGCGACGACGACGACGACGACGACGAGGACGGTAACGACGACGACGGTGACGACGACGACGACGGTGATGACGGCCACGGTGACGATGTACGACGACGACGACGACGACGACGACGACGACGACGACGACAATGACGACGACGTTGACGACGGCGACGGTGACGATGTACGACGACGACGACCACGCCCTCGACGACGACGACAAAGACGCCGACGACGGCGACGATGACGACGACCACGACCACGACCTCGACCACGACCACAATCACGACGACAATCACGACGACAACCACGACGACGACGACGACGACAACGACAGCGACGACGGTGACGACGACGACGACGACGACGACGACAACGACGACGACGATGGTGACGCCGACGATGGTGACGACGAAGGCGGCGACGACAACGTTTGACGCCGACGACGACGACGACGGCAACGACGTTGGCGACGACGACGACGGTGACGCCTACGCCGACAACGACGACGACGACGACGGAGGCGACGACAGTGACGACGGCGACGGCCACGATGACGATGACGACTGTCACGCCGACGACGCCGAAGGCGCCCACGCCGACGTCGACGCTGGTGCTGACGCCGATGCCGACACCGACCACGACGACGACGACGACAATGACGACTGTGACGACGAAGGAGGCGACGACCACGGCGACGACGACGACGTCGATGACGGCAAGGACGACGACGGTGACGACGACGACGGTGACGGGGACGGTGACGATGTACGACGACGAGCACGGCCACGACAACGTCAGCGACGACGACGACCACGACGACGTCAGTGGCGCGGCGGCGGCTCGGCGTCGAGCGCCCGGGCACGGAGCGCGACGAGGCCGCGGCGGTGGCGGCGACGACCACGACGACGACGACGACGACGACGACGACGACTACGACCACGACGACGACGACGGAGGCGACGACGATGACGACGACTGCGACGACGACGATGGTGACGACGGTCACGCCGACGGTGACGATGACGTCGACGATGATGACGACGCCGACGCCGACGCCGACGCTGACGATGATGACGACGACGACGGCGACCACGTCGACTACCACCACGACGACCACGGCTACGGTGGCTACGACAACGCCTACGACGACCGTGGCGACCACGACGGTTACGCCGTCGCGACGGCGAGGACGACGACGAGGACGGTGACGACGACGTCGACAAAGGTGGCGACGAAGGCGGCGGCGACGATGGTGACGCCGACGACGACGACGATCACGACGACCACGACGGAGACGACGACGACCACGTCCACGGCCACGAGCACGACGACCACGGCCACGACAACCACCACGGTCATCATGACGGCGGCGGCGACGACGATGACGACGGTGACGACGACGACGACAACGACGGCGACGACAACGACGGCGACGACGACGACGATGGTGACGACGACGACGATGGTGACGCCGACTACCACGTCCACGACGACGGCGACGGCAGCGGCGGCGGCGGAGACGGCGACGGAGCCGACGACGGTGACGACGGCGACGGCGACGACGACGATGACGACGGTTCCGCCGACGATTGCGGCGACGACGACGACGTTGTCAACGACGACGACGGCGTCGACGGTGATGACGAGGACAGCGACGACCACGATCACGACGACGACGACGACGACGACGGCGACGATGCCGACGACGGTGTCGACCGTGACGACGACGGTGACGACGTGCGACGACCACGACCACGACAACGTTTACGGTGACGACGATGCGCACGATGACCACGGCGACGATGACGACGACGACATCGACGACGACGGCGGCGACGTCGGTGACGATGACGACGACGAGGAAGGCGGCGACGACGACGATGACGACGATAACGACCACGACGATCACGACGGTGACGACGACCACGATCACGACCACGATCACGACTACGACGAACACGACCACGACCAAGACCAGCACGACGACCACGATCGTGACGACAATGGCGGTGGCGGCGGCGGCGACGACGACGACGGCGACGACGTCGACGCCGACGACAACGACGGCGGCGACGACGAAGAACGGAGACGCCGTCGACGACGACGACACCGACGGCGCCTGACGACGACGGTGGCGCCGACGACGACGGTGACGCCGACGACGGCGTTTGCGATGACGACGACGACGACGACGACAGAGACAACGACGGTGGCGACGGCGACGGCGATGAAGAAGATGACGACGCTCACCCTGACGACGACGACGACGACCACCACGATGACGACGACGGCGGCGACGTCGACGACGACGACAATGACGACGACGATGCCGACGGTGCGACGGCGACAGCGACGACGACCATAGTGTTTACCACGACGGCGAAGACGACGGTGATGACGACGACAGCGACGACGACCAGAGCAATGACGACGACGATCATTGCGTCGACGACAACGACCACGACGACGACGGAGCCGACGACGGTGACGACCAAGACGACCACGACAACGACGACGACGGCGACGTCGAGGGTCAGGGTGACGACGACGGCGGCGGCGACGACGCCGACGACGACGACCACGACCATGACCACGACCACGACGCCGACGACACGACGACGACGACGACGACGACGACGACGACGATACGACGATCGTCGACGATGACGCCGAAGATAGCGACAACCACGACGATGTCGATGACGATTACGCCCACGGCGACGACGACGACGACGGTGACAACGACGACGGCGATGTCGACGTCGACGGTGACGATGGCGACCACGTTGGCGACGACGGCGACGACGACAATGACGACCACGACTACGACGACGAAGACGGTGACGGAGACTACGACGGCTTCGACGACAACGACAACAACGACCACGACCATGACCATCGTCATGATCGCTGCCATGACCGCGACGACGACGACGGCGGCGACGGAGATGACGACGACGACGGTGACGACGACGATCGCGACCACGACGACCACGACCACGGCGACCGCGACCATGACCACCACTACGAGCATGAGCACGACGACGAACACGACCACGACCACGACCATGTTCATGCCGACAAAAGCGACGACGGTGACAGCAGCGACGACAACGACGTCGGCGATCACAACCACGACCACGACCATGACGACGACTACCACCATGGCACCGACGACGACTGTGACGACGACGACGACAACGACGACCACAGTGCCGACGCCGACCTTGACGACGACGACCACGACCACCACCATGACCACGACAACGACGACCACGACCATGACCACGACCATGACCACGACGACGACGACGATGAGGACGACGAAGGCGACGACGGCGAAGACGACGACGACGATGACGATTTCGAGCGAATTTGTCGCGGTCGTCGTCGTCGGTCGTCTTTGTTATTGTCGTTGTCGTCGTCGTCACCGCCGCTTCCGCGAGACGGCGACGACGACGACGATGGCGGCGGCGGTGGCGGCGACGGCGACGGCGACGGCGCAGGCGACGGCGACGGCGGCGGCGACGACGGCGCCGACGACGACGACGACCACGACGACGGCGGCGGCGGTGGCGACGGCGGCGACGGCCTCGGCGACGTCAACGGCGAACGCAACGGCGACAGAGACGGCGACGGTGACGGCGACAGCGACGGCGACGGCGATGGGGACGACGACGACGACGACGACGACGACGACGACGACGACGACGGCGACGGCGGCGGCGGCGACGGCAACGACGACGGCGACGACGATACGCCATTAGCTCGACATTGTTTATCGCGGAGTGGCGCCCTTCAGCTTTCTTGCGCTTTTGGAAGGCCAGCGGTTGGCAGGAATCAGTGTTTGATGAGGCATTACCCAGAATGGGTTCCAGGATTTGGCGGATCTGTCGACGCCGTCCTCGCCGTCGTCGCCGTCGCTTTTCGCGAAGCGCCCTGAGGCGACGGTGACGACAACGACGACGACGACGACGATCTCGAGTAGAATCGTCGCTGTCGACATCGTCGGGCGTCGTCGTCGTCGTCTTCGTCGTCGTTTCCTCGGCGCGCTCCGCCGATGACGACGACGACGACGACGTTTTTGAGGGAAAGCGCCTTGGTCGTCGTTGCCGGGCGGTGCTATTATCGTCGTGGCTGTGGTCGGACGTGTAGGTGGTAAATCGCGGAGGCTCCTGCTCGTCTTGGGTTGAATCTAATCCGGCGAGTGGCGCCAGACAAGCGTTCAACAGCGACCAGTATCGCCTAGTTGTGCCGACTCAGCGCCAAAATGGCCCTAGTAGCGACCCATTGCGCCCGGCAGTGCCATGTGAGGGAGGTGCATTGTGTCGGCGTAGCGCGCGATGGGGTACGCTAGTGGGCGGCATGGGTCACCGAGCGCGTTCTGCTACTCGCGAAGTTCCTACACGTTCTACTTGTAGTGGATCGTACATCTCCCGCGGCAGATCTAGGCCACTTGCGAGTAGTTACGTTGCGAGTAGTGGACAATGTTAAGTCGGACATGTCTTTCCACAGGGAAAATATTCAAAAACATCGAAATCATCTGGGGACGACTTTTCGACTCTTGTTGACCATGTTTCAACAATTGTTGGCTATGGTCTGTCGTGTTTTTTCGTTTCCCCCAAAATCCGCCTGCAGGGGGACATGCCCGACCTAAGTCTGATCGGTACGCCCCGAAGCTTTCGGGAGTTGCTTTTTCCAGAGACGTCGCCGTCGTCGTCGCCGCCGTCGTCGCCGCCGTCGTCGCTGTCGTCGTCGTCGTCGTCGTCGTCGTCGTCGTCGTCGTCGTCGTCGTCGTCGTCGTCGCCGTGGTCGTCGCCGTAGTCGCCGTCGCCCTCCTCGCGGGGCGCGGGGAGGCGGCCGGCCGCCTCCCCTGGGTGCGGCGGGCGCGGACGCACGCCCGGCTGGCCATGGAGGAGCGCAGGCCCAGACTCCCATCGCGTGGGAATTTTTTGGGGCGAAGTCCACGTCCTCCTCTTCCTCCTCCTCCTGCTCCTCCTCCGGCTCGCTGGCTCCTCCTCCTCCTCCTGCTCGCTCCTCCTCCTGCTCGCTCCTCCTCGCTCCTCCTCCGCCTCCTCTTTCTCCTCCTCCTCATCCTTTGCCTGCTTCTAGAGTTAGCTCGGGCCTGTCCCTGTACATAAGGAACATTCAAAAATTAAAATAGTCTGGGGACGATATATGGTATTTGTTTATATGTTTTGGGGGGGGGCATTGTGGAGTATGTGTCATTTTTCGATAAAAATCAGCCTGTAGGGGGACATGCCCGACCTAATTCTAGAAGCTCAATATACAGTCAACCCGCATAGCCAGGATGGGCAACCTTCCCAAGGGTACCCTTGCATCCTTGCATCCTCGGTCCATCCTTGGCCACTTTCGTTGGCCGCGCCCCGCTCGAAAAGCTTCGGAATGGTCTTCCAAGGCCCTTGCACCCTGATCGCGCATCCATATTATACGGGCCGACTGTGTATGGGGCCTGTGCCAGATACTGGTCCTCACTGGGTAGCCACACACGTATGTGGACACGCTGTGTTTCGCTACGTGTGTGTATATATATATATATATATATATCGACACTCGGGGTGGATACGTCTGCAGTGGGAACCCATGCCAAGAAATACCCTGCTTGGCTCCAGGGTGCCCTGCGTTTCTTGGGTCTCGATGGTCTTGCCATGTAGAGCGTGACGCTCCCACGCCAAAAACCAGACGACGTCCTGGGGTCTCAGGGTTGGGTTTCTTTTGGAAGGTGTTTTGTGGTCGAGCTCCTACTGTACCGGTCCTCACCGCCTGGCCACAAGCGTATATGGACACGCTGGGTTTCGTTACGCGTATAAACACTCGGGGTGGATACGTGTACACAACACGCGGCCGTTGTCTTCGGCGCAGGGCAAGGTCGGAGAAAGGGTAGCCCCATCGAAAGTGGAAACCAATGCAACGAAGCACCCTGCATGCCTCCAGGGTGCCCTGCTTTTCTTGGGTCTCTATGGTTTTGCTATGGGAAGGTTGGCGTTCCCACACCAGAAATGAATGAGCGTCCTGGGGTCTCAGGATTGGGTTTCTTGCGGAAGATTTCTTGTGGTCGAGTTCCTACTGTACTGTGTGTTTCCGTTCTGAGGCAGGTCCCACTCCAATGTGGAACCGATCAACCCAAGACAGTGGTCTTTTTTCTCGGGGGGCAAACGCGAGCATAAACATAACTATTATGATCTCTGCGCGGACCTCCGAACATGCATGTTCATGTCCTCGGTTGTCCCCCGATGCTCGCCATTCTCGCCCCCTGGGGTGGCGCTTCTGGACCCAGGGCCGCCGTGAAGGCGCCCCAGGGTGCTCTTGGGCGCGCTCCTGTGGGGTTGTGGGGGGACGAGGGTCTCAGCGCCTTCCCGCGAGGGCCTTCGAAAGGTCACAGCTGGGGCTCTCATGTAGGACGAGTGGCTTTGCCAAGCATGCCGTGCATCTTTGCTTTCTTTGCGTCCGCTCGAGCCGGCCAGCTGCGCTGGCCAGCTACTGTCATGCGTGACGTTTCGCGCATCCCAACTGGTCTACCCAGCAGGGTGTTGCCCTTTTCGCCCATTCCTCCCTCCCTTCCTCCCTCCAGCTGCGCGGCGGCAAGCATGGGCGCTACGGCAACGACAAGACACGACCTCGCCGTATGGGCGGGCACACAGTGGGCTCTCTAGTGGTGCTTGTGGCTTCGTGTTATGATGTTCCAAATCATTCTTAGCCTTGATCACCATCAAAAATGTCGAACATCAAGAAAATACCGAAACTGAAGGTTTTCACGTGAAAGGCCCTTGGAGGCGATACTTGCTCGACACAATTTCGATACCTTTCTGGGTGCTCGAGATTATCTTTGGGATTGTTGTTGCCCTGAAGCACGATGAGTGCAACATAAGCTCCTTGCCTCCCTGCTTGCCTCCAGGGTGCCCTGAGTTTCGTGGGCTTCGACGGTTTTGCGCTGGAAAGCGCCACGTTCCCACGCCAAACATCAGGGGACGTCCTGGGGTCTCAGGGTTGGGTTTCTCGTGGCAGGTTTCTTGTGGACTGGCCTCCACTGTAATGTTGAGTCGGGCATGTCCCTCAACAGGAGGAATATTCCAAAATAGTAAAATGATAGTCGGGGAACGATTTGTTTATCATTTTCGGTTTTTTCTTCTTAAACAAAATGTTTGACCATTTTTTTATGTTTCGTACAAAATCCCCTACTGTAGTGGTCGGGCCCCTACTGTAGTGGTGCTTGTGGCTCCGTGCCTCCCTGTCCGCTTCTGCTGCAGCATCCCGGCCTGGGGTCACGCTGCCGCGCCGCCACGCCAGTCACACCGCGGGCTCGCTGCTACGGGTATCGCTCTCGCTCACGTGCCCTAGGATTCTCGGGGTGGCACAGACGGCCTCCAGCGCACCCCTCGCGAGGCCCAGAGGGCCCCAGGGGCTCCAACAGGTCTGCACTGCCACCGACCCGAGCCGCTGGGTGTCGCCTTGCGACAACTACAATCTGAAACGTACCGATCTGTCCACCGACACTCGCACAGCAAGCCCGTGCTGCGCCGCTCCGCGTTGCTTTCAGAGAAAGGAGGAGGAGGAGGAGGAGGAGGAGGAGGAGGAGGAGGAGGAAAAGGAGGAGGAGGAGGAGGAGGAGGAGGAGGGGAGGAGGAGGGGGAGGGGGGAGGGGGAGGAGGAGGGGAGGAGGAGGAGGAGGAGGAGGAGGAGGAGGAGGAGGAGGAGGAGGAGAAGGGGGAGGAGGAGGAGAAGGAGGAGGAGGAGGAGGAGGAGGAGGAGGTGGAGGAGCGAGGAGGAGGAACGTGTGCGCGTGTGTGCTGCACGCTCTGCCGGGTGCTCCCCCTCCTCGCGCGCCCGCTTGCCGTGCCTCTTCGCCTCGCTGACCGCCTGCGACGCCCGGCGGCGATGCAGGTTTCGGCGCTGTGGGGGCGCGTGGCCCGCGCTGTCCTGCAATCCGCTGTGTCGTTGTCGTTCGATGCATCTGCATATTGGAAATGTAGGAAAGGGCAGTTCGTGGTGTCCTGCAAGTCGGCTCTCAAAGTCACCGTTAAGCAACATCCCCGTCAGCGCGGCCTTGGTGGTCAGCGTTTGCTTACTCGGCGTTTCGGCATTGAGCGGAAGGGGGGGGGGGAGGGAGGGGGGTCTGGCTCCGGACCTCTGCTGAATGCGACTGTTTGCAGCAGGGCGTCCATCCATGATGGGGGAGACCCCACCTGCTCGAAATAGGTGCCCAACCAGCCGCCAAGGTCTGCTCCAAGGGGGGCGGAGGGAGGGGGGGGGGGCGAGGGCCCGCGCCGATCGGGAGAACAAGAAATTAAACAAAAACGATCACCTGGCGGAATTCATTCAACAGCTCGCGCCCCTTGACACTTGTCACTCGCTGCGGTGACGTCTCTTGGCCCTGCGGAGGCAAAAAGTGCGCGGCGTGCCTCTGTGTGGGATTCCAGGGCTCGAGCTGAAATGCGTGTGTATGTGTGTGTGTGTGGTGTGTGTATGTGTGTGTGTGTGGGTTGCGGTTTAGTTGGCCGTCTTCGTTTTGAGTTCGTTTTGTGGCAAAGGCAGGACGAAGACACAAGCGAGGGAACACGAAAACAGAACGAAGACGGGCAGCACTTCAGCATCGGTTAACCGACCCGATATCCCCATCCCCATCCAGACCCCAACCATCTCACCCCCCCAATTGGGGATGTCGCCCATCGAAACCCAAGGGAGACGGCCCAAGGCTGGTGAGACCAAGGCCACGCCCATGGGGGAAGGGGTCGGTTGAACGATGCTCATGCCCAGACATCCGCCGATACGACTTGTTCCATCCGCGGCCCCAGAGGTCCCGACCCGTTCCCTGATGTGGTTTTTCATCCCAGATCCATTTTTGGTGGTCCCCGCGCCCGATAACGGGCCCCCGAGGCTGAAATCCAGGAAAAAACGCCGCGGGTGAAAAAAACAGATCTTCGGATCTCTAGGTGTCTGGACAGTCCTGGGGTCGATTACACGCTGCTCAACTGTTTGGGTCGAGCCCCGTGGCAGCCCACGAGGAGTGGCGTGACCTCGCCGAAGAGTGGCGCCAGGGCTGCTCCTGGCCCTCCGCGGCCTCGGCCTCGCGCTGGTGCGAGCGCCAGCGCGGCAGATGGCGGCACGAGGTGCGGCCCAGCCTGGACCTCAACGCCTTCTGCGAGCGGACCCACGAGAGGTTTGCCCTTGCCCTCGTCGTCGGCGTCGTCTTCGGCGTCGTCGTCGCCGTCGTCGTCGTCGTCGTCGTGGTCGCCGTCGTCGTCACCGTCGTCGTCGTCGTCGTCGTCATCGTCAGCGTCGCCCTCGTCGTCGCCGTCGCCGTCGTCGTCGCCGTCGGCGTCGCCGTCGTCATGGTCATCATGGTCGCCATGGTCGTCGTCGTCGTCGTTGTCGTCGTCGCCATGGTGGTCATGGTCGTCGTCGTCGTCGTCATGGGCGCGACGGCGTCGGCGTCGGCGTCGGCGTCGGCGCCGCCATCGTTGTCGTCGGCGTCGGCGTCGGCGTCGTCGCCACCGTCGTTGTCCTCGCCGTCGTCGTTGTCACCGTCGTCACCGTCGTCGTCGTCGTCGTCGTCGTCGTCGTCGTCGTCGTCGTCGTCGTCGTCGTCGTCTTGGTCGTCGTCGTCGTCGTCACCGTCGTCGTCTCCGTCGTCTTCGTCGTCGTCGTCGCCGTCGCCGTCGTCGTCGTCGTCGTCATCGTCGTCGGCGTAGGCGTCGGCGTCGGCATCGACGTCGGCGTCGTCGTCGGCGTCAGCGTCGGCGTCGGCGTCGGCATCGTCGTCGGCGTCGGCGTCGTCGTCGTCATGGGCGTCGTCGTCGCCCTTGTTGTCGTAGTCGTCGTCGTTATCGTCGTCGTCGTCGTCGTCATGGTCGTCGTCGTCGTCGTCATGGGCGTCGTCGCTGTCGTCGGCGTCGGCTTCGGCGTCGGCGTCGTCACCGCCATCGTTGTCGTCGCCGTCGTCGTTGTAGTCGTCGTCACCGTCGTCGTCTTCATCGTCGTCACCGTTGTCGTCGTCGTCGTCGTCGCCGTCGTCTCCGTCGTCGCCGTCGTCGTCGTCGTCTTCGGCGTCGTCGTCGCCGTCGTCGTAGTCGTCGTCGTCGTCGTCGTCACCGTCGTCGTCGTCATCGTTGTCGTCATCGTTGTCGTTGTCGGCGTCGGTGTCGGCGTCGGCTTCGTCGGCGTTGGCATCGGCGACGGCGTCGGCTTCGGCGTCGTTGGCGTCGGCGTCAGCGTCGGCGTCGTCGTCGCCGTCGTCGCCGCCGCCGTCGCCGCCGTCGCCGTCGTCGGCGTCGTCGTCATGTTCGTCATGGTTGTCGTCGTCGTCACAGGCGTCGTCGTCGGCGTCGCCGTCGGCGTCGGCGTCGTCGCCGTCGTCGTCGTTACCGTCGTCACCGTCGTCATATTCGTCGTCGACGTCGTCACCGTCGTCGTCGCCGTCGTCATCGTCGTCGTCGCCGACGCCGTCGTCGTCGCCGTCGTCGTCGTCGGCGTCGGCGTCGTCGTCATCGTTGTCGTCGTCGTCGTCGGCGTCGTCATCGTCCTCGTCGTCGTCGTCGTCGGCGTCGGTGTTGCCGTCGGCGTCGGCGTCGGCGTCGGCTTCGGCGTCGTCGGCGACGGCGTCGGCGTCGTCGTCACCGTCGTCGCCGTCGTCGCCGCCGCCGTCGTCGTCGGCGTCGTTGTCGTCGTCATGGTCGTCAGGGTCGTCGGCGTCGTCATTGGCGTCGTCGCCGTCGTCGGCGTCGGCGTCGGCGTTGTCGCCACCGTCGTTGTCGTTGCCGTCGTCATCGTACTCGTCGTCGCCGTCGTCGTCGTCACCTTCGTCGTCGTCGCCACCGTCGTCATCGTCGCCGTCGTCTTCATCGTCGTCGTCGCAGTCGCCGCCGCCGTCGTCGTCACCGTCGTCAGCGTCGGCGTCGGCGTCGTCGTCGTCATCGTTGTCGTCGTCGTCGTCGTCGTCGGCGTCGGTGTCGGCGTCGGCATCGGCGCCGGCGTCGGCGTTGGCGTCGTCGGCGTCGGCGTCAGCGTCGGCGTCGGCGTCGTCGTCACCGTCGTCGCCGTCGTCGCCGCCGCCGTCGTCGTCGTCGCCGCGTCATGGTCGTCATGGTCGTCATGGTCGTCGTCGTCGTCATGGGCGTCGTCGCCGTCGTCGTCGGCGTCGGCGTCGGCGTCGGCGTCGTCGCCACCGTCGTTGTCGTCGGCGTCGGCGTTGTCGTCACCGTCGTCGCCGTCGTCGCCGACGCCCTCGTCGTCGTCGACGCCGTCGTCATTGTCGTTATGGTCGTCGTCGTCGTCATGGGCGTCGTCGCCGTCGTCGTCGGCGTCGGCGTCGGCGTCGGCGTCGGCGTCGTCGCCACCGTCGTTGTCGTCGCCGTCGTCGTCGGCGTCACCGTCGTCGCCGTCGTCACCGTCGTCGTCGTCTTCGTCGCCGTCATCGTCGTCACCGTCGTCGTCGTCGTCGTCGTATTCTTCGTCGTCGTCGCCGTCGTCGGCGTCGGCGTCGGCGTCGGCGTCGGCGTCGGCGTCGGCGTCGGCGTCGGCGTCGGCGTCGTCGTCGGCGTCGGCGTCGGCGTCGTCGTCGACGCCGTTGTCGTAGTCGTCATCGTCGCCGTGGTCGTCATGGTCGTCGTCGTCATGGGCGTCGTCGAGGTCGTCGGCGTCGGCGTCGGCGTCGGCGTCGGCGTCGGCGTCGTCGCCGCCATCATTGTCGTCGCCGTCGTCGCCGTAGTCGTCGTCACCGTCGCCGTCTTCGTCGTTGTTACCGTTGTCGTCTTCGCCGTCGTCGTCGTCATCGTAGTCGTCGTCGTCGTCGTCGTCGGCGTCATCGTTGCCGTCGTCGTCGTCGTCGTCGTCGTCACCGTCGTCGTCGTCATCGTTGTCGTCGTTATCGGCGTCGTCGTCGTCAGCGTCGGCGTCGGCGTTATGGGCGTTGGCGTCGGCGTCGTCGTCACCGTCGTCGCCGTCGCCGTCGTCGTCGTCGGCGGCGGCGTCGTCGTCGTCGTCGACGTCGTCATGGTCGTCATGGTCGTCATGGTCGTCGTCGTCGTCGTCATGGGCGTCGTCGCCGTCGTCGGCGTCGGCGTTGTCGTCGTCGTCGTCGTCGTCGTCGTCATCGTCATGGTCGTCATGTTCGTCGTCGTCGTCGTCATGTGCATCGTCGCTGTCGTCGTCGGCGTCGTCGTCGTCATCGTCATGGTCGTCATGGTCGTCGTCGTCATGGGCGTCGTCGCCGTCGTCGTCGGCGTCGGCGTCGGCGTCGGCGTCGGCGTCGTCGCCACCGTCGCGGTCGTCGCCGTCGTCGTCACCGTAGTCGTCGTCGCCGTCGTCTTCGTCATCTTCGTAGTCGCCGTCGTCGTCGTCTTCGTCGTCTTTGTCGTCGCCGTCGTCGTCGGCGTCGTCGGCGTCGGCGTCGGCGTCGTCGTCGGCGTCAGCGTCGGCGTCGGCGTCGACATCGGCATCGGCGTCGCCGTCGTTGTCGTCGCAATCGTCATCGTAGTCGCCTTCACCGTCGTCGTCGTCGTCTTCGTCGTCGTCACCGTCGTTGTCGTCGTCTTCGTCATGGGCGTTGTCTTCGTCGCCGTCGCCGTCGCCGTCATCGCCGCCGTCGCCGTCGTCGTCGTCGTCGCGGTAATCGTTTTAACCGTCGTCGGCCTCGTCGTCGTCATGGTCGTCATGGTCGTCGTCGTCGTCAGCATCGTCGTCATAGTCGTCATCATCGTCGTCGTCGACGTCGTCCTCGTCGTCACCGTCGCCGTTATTAGCATCGTTGTCGTCGGCGTCGGCGTCGGCGTCGGCGTCGGCGTCGGCTTCGGCGTCGTCGGCGTCGGCGTCGGCGTCGGCGTCGGCGTCGTCGTCACCGTCGTCGGCGTCGTCGCCGTCGTCATGGTCGTCGTCGTCGTCATGGGCGTCGTCGCCGTCATCGTCGTCGTCGTCGTCGGCGTCGGCGTCGGCGTCGGCGTCGGCGTCGGCGTCGTCGCCGCCGTCGCTGTCGTCGCCGTCGTCGTCGTAGTCGTCGTCGCCGTCGTCGTTCTGGTCTTCGTCGTCGTCACCGTCCTCGTCGTCGTCGACGTCGTCGTTGTCATGGTCGTCGCCGTCGTTGTCGTCGTCGTCGGTCTCCGTCGTTGGCGTCGGCGCCGTCGTCGGTGTCGGTGTCGGCGTCGGCGTCGGCGTCGGCGTCGCCGCCGTTGTCGTAGTCGTCGTCGTTGTCGTCGTCGTCGTCGTCTTCGTCGTCGTCATGGCCGTCGTCGTAGTCGTCATCGTCGTCGTCATCATCGTCGTGGTGCGCTCCGCGCGCCAGGGAGCGGGGCACAGCGCCGATCCAGAAAATCCGCGCGGAGCTCCGCAAGTTTATGGTCTTTGTCGTCGTCGGCTTCGGCCTCGGCGTCGGCGTCGTCATGGTCGTCGTCGTCGTCGTCATCGTGGGCGTCTCCTCCTCCTCCTCCTCCTCCTCCTCCTGGTGCGATCTTTTGTGCTGTCGGATTCTTTTGTGCCGATGCCTCGGCGTTCCCGTCGTTCGAGGCCTCCTCGGCCGCCGTAGCTAGTTGAAATTCAATGGAGTGGTGCCCATCACCCCCCTAGCTGGCATCCCCCAGCCAACGGGCGGGTCGAGGGCTTGTGGTGGTGTCCCCATCAGCAGCGCTCGCTGGTGAGGGAAGTTGCGGAATATACCGCCACTCAGGTGCTACAATTTTTTGTTTTCGAGGTGACACTTCGAACAGCATCCGAGAGTCTTGCTTGCTTGCTTGCTTGCTGGTGCGATCTGCAATCTGCGATCTGTCGGCACTGGTGTACCATTGATGGCGCTGCTGTCCCCCCCTTCTCCTCCCTCCCTTCCTCCTTCTCCTGCGCCTCCTCCTCCTTGTTGACGTTGAGCGGACTAATCCTAAGACTGTAGCGTCTGCCCTCCTCGGCGACGAGCGAGGGGGGGAAACGAGAAGGAGAAGGCCTTCTCAGAAGGCGGCGGGGCTTCTCAGAAGCACTCGCGCCCTCTGAGGGGCTTTTTGTGCCTTCGGGGAAGAGCTCTGAGCACTGCTCAGAGAAGGCCAGGGGACGCCTCTCCGGGCCTCAGGGGGCCCTCGCCGCCACGGCCAGAGTCGCCGCGGAGTCCCGGTCGGAGCGCGCCCCGGGAGGAGGCGAGGAATCATCTGCACGAACGACATGGGCACCGATCCTCTGCCAGGAATCATCTGCCATGAATCATCTGCACAAATCAGGTCTGGGGTGGATCAATGCTGCGGTGGATCCCCTACTCGAAGCACGTAGTATCCCCACCCCCTGATTGGCATCACCTCATCTCGACGCCGATGCCGCGCGGATTCCCGCAGTTTCCTGTCGGCACGAACGAAATGGGTACGGAAAGAATGGGCACAATGCCCAACAGCAGTTCCTGTTCATTTTGAACAGGACTCGCTGTCCGCGCCGCCGCGGCCTGTGTCAGGGCGCCTGCTCAACAGCGGCCGCTGTTGGTTTGGGACAACATTTGTTGTTGGGCATTGTACCGATTCTGTCCGTACCCATTTCGGGCGTCCAAAAGGAACCAGCAGTTCTATCTGCTCGTAAGTCGGGCACGTCCCTCTACAGGAGGAACCTTCAGAAATAGGCAAACAAAGCATGGGGACGATGTTTGACAATTTGTATGAGCATGTTTGAATATTGGTTGGACTGTTTTTCATGGCTCTTTCAAAACAAGCCGCCTGCAGGAGGACATGCCCGACCTAGAGCTACTCACCTCGTCCCGTCCCCCCGCAGGTGGCGGGGCGCCAACCGCAGGTTCGACGACTGGTTCAACGCGGGCTGGTTCAAGCTGGTGGCCGACCTGAGGCAGCACTGGAAGGAGGTGCAGGATCGTCGAGGATCAAAGAACCCCTAACCCTAATAACACGATGAAGACGCGGCCCCACTGAGGTCCCCGTCTTTGCACTGGTGATCAAAGATCTGAGCAGTTCGGTCCGATGCATCTGGCCCCCATCCCTGACGTCTTGGCTCTCCTGACTCAGGTCCCCCCCCAATGGGTCAGGAGGTTTTTTTTGTGAACCGCAGGAGAGGAAGGCTGGCTCTCCGGGCCCCGCCGCCGACACCACGGCCATGGTGCTGCTAGGCGCCGGCGTCGGCTCGGCGCTGCACGGCCTCACGGGCGCCGGCACGGTGCTGTCCGCGTGGGGCGTGTGCCGGGCATGCCGGAGGTACGTGGTGCAGAAGGTGGACGACGGAGACGTCGAGGCCCTGTTCCGGTGGGCCCCAGAGAGGATACGCAGGCGGCCCCCGCGGCATGAGCGCGGCCCGGGGGGGGTCCCGGGAACGGATTCAAAAAGAAGAGGCGCCATGGAATTTCGGGACACAGTATGGCATCCACCATGGTATCCCCCCCCCTTCAGGGGCAACGATAGGGGGGGGGATAGGCGTAGGGGGGGATGCATCGACCCCCAATCGCCCATTGATCGCCGATAGGGGTCTGATAGCCCAACCCCGCCCAGGAGCCCAGGAAGGTGCGGATTCGCTATCGGGGGCCTATCGCCGATCTATCGGCGATGTACATGCATCCCCCCCTATGCCTATTCCCCCCCTATCGTTGCCCCGCATCCCTAGCCAGCACCCCCCTCTTGGCCGCCCCCGACCTGGCGAGGGAGGGCGGGACGCTCGCAGGAGCTGCTGAGGTGCGTGCGGGCTGCAGCGGTGCGTTGGGTCGCGGCGCCCCGTGGTTTGCGCGGGGTCCGGTTCGCTTCTCCTCGTCTGCAAGCTTCGCATCCGAAGGTCCTCCTCCTCCATCCTCCTCAATCTCCTCCTCCCTCCTCCTCCTCCTCCCTCCTCCTCAATCTCCTCCTCCTCCACCTCTTCATCCTCCTCCTCCTCCTCCTCCTCCTCCTCCTCCTCCTCCTCCTCCTCCTCCTCCTCCTTACTCTCACCCCTCATCATCCTTCGGCGGTCAGCCCTGGGGGGCGGCCAGCCCGGGGGTAAACCGAGAGTGGGCGGGTCTTCTCAGAAGGCTCGGGAGTCCCCCGGGGTCCCCCACATGTCTGGGAAGTCTCTGATCCTTCCCCGAAGACGCAGACAAGCTTCTCAGGAGGCCTGAGGGCTTCTGATTCTGAGAAACCCCGTCGCCTTCCGAGAAGGTTTTTTCTTTCCCATTTTATCCCCAGGCTCGCAGCCTACTCTCAGGAGGGGGAAAGCACACAGACGCAATGAATCGTCGATTCCCCAGAAAATATGGGAAACTATGGGAAGTGGGGGGGAAGACAAAAGCCCAGAAAATATGGGAACATCTGGGGAATCTCATTTTTTGTGTATTTATTCAATCGCTTCGCTCATTCCGCCAGCCCATATTGCATGATCGCTACTGTTTCGCCGTGGGCTCGGGGCCATTGTGGCACCGCCGAGGAGGAGGAAGATGAGGATGGGGAAGGGGAGGGGAGGAGGAGAAGAGGATGAGAAGGAGAGGAGGAGGATGAAGATAAGTAGGAGGAGGAGGAAGAGGAGGAAGGGGCGGAGGAGGAAGCCTCTCGTTGGCATCTTGTGTTGCTCTTGGGGCCAAACAGGGTCGTCGTCAAGATGTTTCTTCGGGAGGCCTCTTGGGGTCTTTTGAGAAGTCGTTCGGGGGCACCTGGGAGGCGAAGCCTTCGCGGGCCTCTTGGGGCCTCTCTTGGGCCTCCTGGGGGCCTCCTGGGGCCTCTTGGGGGCCTCTTGGCAGCATCTTGGGGCCTCTCGGAGCCTCCTGGGGCCCTCTTGGAGCGGAAGTCTAGAGTTTTCGGTTCGTGGTCCCCCTCTTGGGGCCGTTTTGGGGCTTTCTTGGGCCATCATGAGCGCCTCTTGTGCCGTCTCGGGGCCCTCTTGGGGCCCTCTTGGAAGCCTCTTGGCCCGTCTTGGGGCGCTCTTGGGGGCCTCTTGGGCCGTCTTGGAGCATCGGGAAGCCGAAAAGGCGACTAGGCCAAAGTCCGTCCAAAACCATTGTAAAATTGATGAATTTTGGCCTCTCGGGGCCCTCTTGTGAGGCCTCTGGGAGGCCACTTGGAGGCCTCTTGGGCCGTCTTGGGGTCATCTTCGGCGTCTTGGAATGCTTTTTGGGCGTCTCGGGGGCATCTTGGGCAGTCTTGGGGGCCTCTTGGCGCCCTCTTGGCGCGCTCTGGGCGGCCTCAGAGACCCCACCCAGGAGGAAAACCATCTCTGACAAAGGGCGGCCGGGCGGCGGGCGGGGTACTTTTGGCCGGGGCACCCCCAGGGGCCGCCCCGCGCGCGCGAACTGGAATATTGTTAACCAGTTGCCGGAGCTCTTAGCACGCCTCTGGCCCGTTGGGCTGGCGAATTTGTGTGTCCCAGGGCCTCTTCATACTCATCGTCATCGCTCTCTCCTCCACCTCCCTTCTCCGCATCTCCCTCCTCTTCCCTTCATCCCTCCTCCTCCTCCTCCTCCTCCTCCTCCTCCTCCTCCAATCCTCTCCTCCTTGCGGCAGAAGGGCATTTCCATGGGGCTCTCGCCTTCGGGGCGCTTTCCTCAGTAGGAAATCAGCACGACCGACATGGGTACAGACAGGGTGGGAACAAAGGTCGAATATCGCCAGGGCCCCCAGGTAGAGGGAGCCGACAGTAGTTGGGCCCCGAAGCCCCAAAAATAAACCAGAATCCAGCAGGGTCTGCCTTAGCAAGTGCTTTGTCGGGTTGCGGCAGTTCCGGTTAGTGGAGTGGGGCGGGTCCCGGGGTACACATCACTAAGCCAGGTCCTACTAAACCCAGCCCCGCCAAAGTCCGAAAAGATAAACAGCAGCTCCTGAAAGGCTCGCTGTCGATGCCCCCCCGGACGTGGCCCATCTCAGACAGAAAGTTAAACATCGCCGCCAACATCTATTGTTGGACATCGTGGCAATTTTGCCCGTACCCATCTCGGGGGGTTCAAAAAGGTGCCAGCGGGGATTTGTGAGGAGTCGAAAAAGAAGGCATACGAAATATACATCTTCGACGGTCCGCGCGGATTTCTTGGATTGGCGCTTGGACCCCCTGGCTGCGCCTCCAGCGCCGCCCCCTGGGGCCTGGCGCGGATACGAGAGATCCATGCAGAATTTCGACAGTTCGTGTGTGTGCCGTCTTCTCTTTCTCTAAGCAGGGGGGCCCAGGACGGGACTGGCGTGACCAGGGCCGGTTCGCATGGGCCAGCAAGATGCCAACCTCCCAAAGTGGATGTTTATTCACGTCAAGCAACCTTAGACTTAAGTCGGGCCTGTCAATCTACAGGAGGAATATTCAAAAATAGTCAAGAAATAGTCAGGGGACCATTTTGTGAGCATTTTTCGACCATTTTGGAGTGTTTTTTGAATCTGTTTCACTCTTCGCCCAAAATCCCCCTGCAGGGGGACAGGCCCGACTTAACCTCAGGCTCGGAACAGCTTGGGTCGTAGCACCTGTCCTGTGTTCCTGCGCAGCAGGGCAGGAACCAGGCCCCGGCATTGCAGCGGCGCTCGTCCGCGAGGACGCAGGCAGGCGAGACAGCGGGGACCAGCAGAAGCTCAAGAGCACGCTGCAGCGCCCGGGTGCGGCAGGGATCGCCCTCCCCTGCCTGGTGTTCCTCCTGGCCCCTCGCGCTCCTCCCGTTCGTCCGCGTTGCCTCCACCACCCTGTCCTCCTCCAGTCTGGACGTCCGAGACGGGTATGGAAAGAATGGGTACAATGACAGTCTGGACGCCCCCGATCGCCCTCCCCTGCCTGGTACTCCTGGCTCCTCTCGGAAGCCGGGCAAGGGCTGCTAAAGCCGTGGCTGCTAGAATCGACCTCCGGGAAGTTGTCTTCGTCCTTCCGGGAAGAAGCCCGTTGACTGTTTCGCGTGCCGCGCCTCATTCGGGGAAGTTGTTTTTTCCTTCCGGGAGGGCCGTTTTAGCAGCCACGGTTTTAGCAGCCCTCGCCCAGCTTCCCACTGGTGCTCCTGGCTCCTCGCGCTCCTCCCGCTCATCCTCGTTGCCTCCACCACCCTGCCCTCCTCCAGTGTCCAGAGCGGCCCAGGCGGAGGGGCGAGCTGTTCGGCCGGATGCGGGCGGAGGTGGACTCCTTCCGGCGGTTGCGCATGGGCGACCTGAGGCCGCGCACGGGGGGGCCGAAGGGGCAGCGGAGCGGACGGGGACGAGCCGTGAGGAGGGAGGAGGGCGGGACCCCAGGCTGTCTCTGCGTAGCGAAAGCGCTGCGATGGACGGTGTTCGGAGGTGGACAGGCCTCCTACCCGGACACGTCGATTCGTGAATTGGCAGTTTTCGGTTCGCGAGAGGGCGTCGCGGCCGTGATTTTTGCGGGTCCAGGTCCGTCGGTTTCGGTCCCCGGCCGTTTTCACCAAGGGGAGGTTTACTAAAGGGAGGTTTGTCCACCGCCGAATGCTGTCTTTGCGTCGCGAAAGCGCTGCGATGGACCGTCTGGGGTCCTCCTCGGGTGTTGTGGGGCCTTGCCGGGCAGTGGGCCGTCTGGTGACGGCTCGGTATGGAAAGCCGGCCTCGGGGAAGGGGTCGAGACTTTCGAGGGCCCACGTGAGAGAGTCACGACGTCGGGGAAGGGAGGGAGGGATGGGGAGGGGACGAGGAGGGCAACGAGGGAGCAAAGGGATGGTTTTCTTGGATCCGAGGGGTCCTGGGGAGTTCTTTCCTCCTCCTCGTATTGAGGAGGGAAGGATCAGGAGAGAAAAAAAACACACAGACACAATTAATCGTCGATTCCCCAAAAAATATTGGAAAATATGGGAAGTGGGGGGGGGAGACAAAAACCCAGAAAATATGGTAAAATATGGGAATCTTTTTTTTGTGTGTATTTATTTGTGTGTCCCAGGGCCCCTTCAAAGGAGGGAGCTTCCTACTCCTCCTCCAACCCTGGCATTGTCTCCGCGGGGAGTGCCGAGCGGAACGAAGGCTCAGTGCTCGAGGGTCGATCTCTGGGGTTGGGTCTCGTGCAGTTTCCTCGTCGCCGCGGCCGGGTTCCCTTGGAAATTCGGAGCGGAGCGCACACCTTAGACTTATATGATGCTCCAACTTACTTTCGGAGGACGTCTCGGGCGGGAGTGCTGGTTTTGTCGGGACGGCGGTTTTCGGCGGCCAGGAGGGCTGGGGGCGGCGCCGATGAGAGAAAGAGTATCGCGCCAGTCCAAGGTAAAACGGGAGGAGGTCTCGAGCGGTAGCGCTAGTTTTGTTGGGACCGGCCGCTTACGGCGGCGAGCAAGAGCACTGGCCCTGAGTAAACGGGAGAAAGTCTCGAGCGGGAGCCGTGTTGTTGTTGGGGGGCCGGCTTTGGCGCCCCCCAGACCGCTCGACCGTGAGCCTCATGTTCAATGAAAATGTAGCAGGCGCCGAGGCGAGAGCGCCAAAGCGCTTGCGGGGGTCCAAAAATAATAATTGTTCAGTATTTTAGCATCCAACAACAACAGCAACAGCATCAACAATAACAACAGCAACAACAACAACAGTAGCAACAACAACAGCAACAGCAACAACAGCAACAGCAACCGCAACAGCAACAGCAACAACCACTACACGCACAAACCAGCAACAAAAACACAACACAAACAATAGCAGCAGCAGCAACAACAACAAGCATCACTGCCATATTGTTACATCTGCATTGCCCGCGTGTCATTCATACTGTACGTCACGAAGTCTGAACTCCTTCCCTCCTCGTTTGTGGGTGCCTTTCTTGGCCTGGCCTTTCTGTCATGCCAGCTTTTTTGCGAGAACTCCGACGGGGTCAGACACGCGGGTCGGGCGGGTGGACCCGGACTCGAGCGTCGGGCGGGCGGGATGCCTAAACCGAGCGGCGTAGGGCTTCTTGTTCTCAAGAAGCCGGCCTGCCGCACTCGCACGGTCGGCCGACGGGCGGGCCGGAGCGGGTCCGACGGGCGGACTTTGGTGGGCAGGTCGGGCGGGCGGGACGTTCAATCGCGATTCGTTCGTGATCTGCGGGGCGAGAGCTCCATGCCTGAGTGCGAGGAAGTCCTGGGGGAGAGTGCAATTCCCCAGTGAGATTCCTGACTGAATCGCGCAGCGGAGCGGGAGAATTGACGGGGGTTATGAGGAGTGGCCTTGGGATGGGTGTCCGCGGACGACGTGTGTGCATCCTGCCGCAAGGGCGTCTCCCGAGGCGTCTTCGGTTCTCGACCCAGGAATGGCACTGCGCATAGTTGTTCGGCCCCCTCAAGTCGAACTGCTCCATGTACCGTGTCGCGTTGGAGCGGGGCCTGCGTGAAGCCCAGACAGGGTACCGTGCACGGGCGCCGTTCACGCAGGTGTGGGCGACTTGCAGCATCGTGTCATCGTGCATCAAATGACACGATGAAGTCGTGGCCTCATTGAGGTCCCCGTCTTCGCATTAGGGATAATAGTTCTGGGCGGTTGGGTCTGTTACATCAGACGAATACAACCCTACCCCTAATGTTTCTGGCCTTCCTGATTTCTGTCCCCTCCCAAAGAGTTGGGGGGCTTTTTTCGGGCTACCATCGTTGATGAACACAGGGTGCGCTATGAGGTTCTCGTCCTCCGTTCTCCTCCCTCCCGCGCAGCTCCCCGGTGGGCAGGAGCCGAAGAAGAAAAGAAGCCATAAGCATAAAACTTTCGACGCTCCGCGCGGACTTCTTGGATCCGCGCGGGGCCCCCCTGGCGGCGCCTCGGGCGCCGCCCCTGGCGCGCTCTGCGGTCCAGGCAGGGGGGCTTCGGCGCAGATCCAAGCAGTTCGCGCGGAGTGCCAAAAGTTCACGTTTATGGCGTTTTCCCTCCCAAGGAGGGGGGCGCCTCAGCCTCCCCCTTCTTAGGAGGAAAAACGCCTCGGCCTCCCTATCCTCCCTATCCTCCCGGCCACGAGAGCGGCGCGTGTTCCCCGAAGGGCGCCCAGCGGGCCGGCGGTACGCCCAAGCTCTGGCCGACGAAGACCTCAACGTAGTTGCCTCCTGACGCACCGCGTTGGCGTCTCCCGAGGCGTCATCAGTCCTCGAACCATGAATGGTACCGTGCACGGTTTTCCCGCCCCTTCATCAGTCGAACTATTATGCACCGTGCCGCAGAGGAGCGAACCCTTAATGGAGTACAGACATGGTTCGGAGCATGGGTGCCGTTCTCGTAAAGACATCGGAGGTTGGGGCAGATTCATCGGAGGTCCGGGCAGGTCTAGAAGAAACATCTGCATAAGTATATTTTTCTGGGGTCTTGCGCGGACCTCCTTGGGGAAAACATGTCTATGTTTTCGTCGTTCCTCTAAATGTCCCGGAGAAGCCAAGACATCGGAGGTCGGGGCAGGTTTATCCACAAGGAGTGGGCGAACACGGACGAGAAGCGCCGGGCAATGGACGCGAGCCTCGCTTGCTTGCCGATGCGATCAGAGGCCGCAGGGCGGAGGAGAGGTCACGTTGCATCTTCGGGGGGCCTCTGCTGTCCCCAAGCTTTGTCTCTTTTCTGGGCGAGAACACAACGCAGTTTTGTTCGTTGTCACAAAAACGCGGACCTGGGAACCTTCTACCCCTGCCGCCCCGCCGCTGGCGCCGCGGTTCGCCGCGGTGCCTGTGGTGGGGCGGGTTGGGTCGGTTGGGGGGTGCGTTTGGGGTGGCTCGCCTCAGGTCTTCATGGACTTCGTGTTCCTCGTCTTGTTCGTGTTCTTTGTCCACGTCTCCCTGCGGTGGGGGGAGGGTAAATATACCCCCGCGTCGCGCGCGCTGCCCCGAGGGCGCTTGTCGGCCGAACGCGAGGCTGGCGCCCTCGGTGCGCGCGTCGCGGGCCGCCGTGGCGGCTTTTGTTTCCGTATGACCGTGTCAGTATGACCGTGTCAATGAGGCCGTGTCAATGCGACCGTGCCTGGGCCGTGTCAATGCGACCGTGCCAATACGACCGTGTCAGTGCGACCGTGTCGATAAAGCCGTGTCAATGCGACCGTGCTATGGCCGTGTCAATGCGACCGTGCCAATACGACCGTGTCAGTGAGACCGGGTCAATAAGGCCGTGTCAATGTGACCGTGCCTGGGCCGTGTCAATGCGACCGTGCCAATACGACCGTGTCAGTGCGACCGTGTCGATAAAGCCGTGTCAATGCGACCGTGCTATGGCCGTGTCAATGCGACCGTGCCAGTATGACCGCGTCAATGTGACCGTGTTGATGCGGCCGTGTCAATGCGACCGTGCCTGGGCCGTGTCGACGCGACCGCGCCAGTAAGATCGCGTCAATGCGACCGCGTCTGTAAGGCCGTGTCAATGCGACCGCGTCTTTTCGATTGCGTCAACGCAACGCGTCAATTACGCCGTGTCGTTGCGACCGTGCCAATTTCTCCGCGTCACTGCGTCCGTGTCTTGTGGGGCGTGTCAAGGGGACCGTGCCGTTGCGACCATGTCAACGCGTCCGTCTCGCCGCGACCGTATCAATGCGAATGTGTAAAAGCGAATGCGTCATTGCGACCGTGTCAGCGCGACCGTGTCAGTGCGACCACGCCAATATTACCGCGTCAATGCGACCGGTTTCCGCCGCCCAGCATGTTGACATTCGTCAGGAGACGCGCGCAATGATCGTTGTTACGCGACGGAGCCAGCAGTGCGCGCAGGCAGAAGACGCGAGCCGCATACGCCGTTGGGCGCGCCGCGGCCGCACCAGCGATGTGCGCTGCAACGCCCACGCTTTCCATGAGCCTGGCTGATTTTCTTGCGGCCCATGATGATACAAGCCGCGGCGCCGAGTGGCTTCGGCAGTGCGCAGCCCTATGCCAGGCGCCGCGAGCGGCTGCGAATGCCGCCACGACGCGCCAGTGCCTCGCGCGCAGGACAATGAGTTGGAGTCAGTGCGTGATCTTGCGTTTGCAGATCCCGGCGCACTGCAGGGCAACCCGTCCGCGGGTAAGCGCTCCTTCTTAGCCAGAGTGATGGCTGCCGCGAAGTCTCTGACAGCGGAGGAACAGCGCGCGGCTGATCCGGCCAGCGCAGGCAGCGCGGCCGGGAGCGGGTCAGCACCTGAGCCGATGTGCCACGTGGACATTCAGGCGAAGTTGCAAGGAGGCGCTCTGAAGGATGTGGGCCAGGCGTTTTGGCCGCGGTCCGCGGCGGTCGACGCCCTCGAGACGGACGTGAAGCGGCTGCAGCGTCGCGGCATCAAGCGGCCATTTGTGTTCGCTGACCTGAAGAAGTTCTTGCCGTCCTGGGCAGAATCGAAGAGCGCGAAAGAGGAGGCTGATGAGGGCCCGCCCATGTCTCGGGATCTTCGCGACCTTTCGCGCGCGCTCGGCGTAGCGAACCCAGTCAAAGCGAAGTCGCTCACTTTCACGCAATGGCATGCCGCCTTCGACAGGTGCACGCGTCTGCGCGCGGGGCGCGCACCCAAGAGCAACGGCGTCGTCCGAGCGCGTAGGTACGCCATCGCTTGCGTCTGCACGGAGCAGATGACGCTGGCTGCGACGATTCGCCACCGCCAGAACGTCATGAAGGCCCGCCTATCGCCGTTGCTCTGCGGATCCAGCGGCGCGAGTGCGATGCGCGCGCGGCGCGGCAGGTGGCCGCGCAGGCGCCCAATGCTAATCGGAGTGGCGCGCTGGGGCTCGTATACGATGAGATTTGCCGGCGCACTTGGGCAGAGAGGTCTCGCGCCGGTGATGATTCCCTCGACATCGAAACTGTCGTGGCAACGATCGATGTGACTCTCTTGGGCGAGGCAGAGGCCGCGTACGATCGCGAAAGTCAGGAGCGCTCAGCCCCCCGCGGGGGCAAGGGTGCCAAGGGCGGCGGAAAACCCGGCAAGGGCGGCGGCAAGGGCGCCAAGGGCGGCGGCAAGGGCAAGTTCCCGCCTGCGCCCCCGGCGGCGCCGAACGACCGCGGCGAGTACGGGGAGCCGCGGGCCAAGAGAGCCAGGCATCGCGAGCGCTGATCAACGTTCCTGCGCCGCGCAGGCGCGGGTCGGCGCGCGCGCGCGCGACGGCGGTAGCCGGACGGCGCGCAGGCGCAGCTGAGAGTCCAGCGGTGACATGTGAAGCATGCCGCGGACAGGAGGCTGGAAGCGCGGCGCACCTACATGTATGTCGCGCGCGGTGGCGTCGCGCTTGCGCAGGCTACCAATTCGGTGTGGACGCGCGGGGCGCAGCCTACACCGGTTGTTTCACTGGAAGAAGTTGCCGGCGCGGGCGCTCCCGCGGTGGGCGGGGTGCAAGCCCATTTGTCGAAAGGCCCCATCGCGTATCCGTCTTTGCTCCCGCGCGCGCGCGTAAAAAAAAAAAAAAAAAAATCTGTCGCGTTGTAGGAGAGCTTGACGCTGGCGACGTGCAGAAGATAGAATTTATCAACTGTGCAATGAAGGACGGATTTCACATCGCGCCATCGCGCGGGATTGAGGAAGACGTTCGCTGCGCCATAGAGTGGGAAGCGTCCAGAGACAGCGTAGAGGTTATGCGTCTGCGCGACAATATGCTATCACGCCTGGAAGCGTGGGGACAAGCGTTACGACGTGACGGGGCCGTCGAGCAATGGTTCGCCGGCGCTGACGACGCGACGCGCGCCGTGTCCGCCGACGTGAATGGGCCGCTTTTAGCTGCTCTGCTCGACATGACGAGCTACGATGACACGGCCGCGGCTGATCTGTTCCGCTACGGCGCGCCTTTGCTCGGAAAGCTGCCCCATGCGGGCAGAGGGCCCGCAAAGAAATTCCCGGAGCCCACGTCGTCCGAGGAGTTGCTGACCTCCTCCCCCGTGCACAATAGAGCCATTTTGTCTTCCTTGCGAGAGGACGTGAACTCGTCTGCGATCCACGAGGGCGCGCTCGCCGATGCGTCTCTGTCGCGGATGACCGCTCCGGTTGTGCTGGCCAAGGCGGACTTGGGCAGGGTGCGTCTGTCCCCGCGTTTCTCCATTGTGCAGGGCGTCAAGCCGGATGGCGCGCCCAAGGTTCGCGTAGTAGACGATGAATCGAGAGGGGGCATCAACTCGGCGTGCCAGCCCGCCGAGAGGTTGTTGCTGGACGGGGCTGACGTTTTGGTGGACGCCCTGCGCTGCTATCACGGTCTGCGCGGGCACGCACCGGCACTGTTTAAGGCTGACATCGACTCCGCTTACCGGCGTGTGCCTATCGCTCCTGAACACAGGCTCGGGATTTCCGGGTGCCCCCCCCCGTTAAAAGCATCGACCTGGGGGCTCGTGTCGGGGTTCCAGAGGAACCCGGCGTTTGCGGTGTCGATGTCGGCCTTGCCACAGGTGGGCAGCTTACAGCACGTATTTGCACGACGGAGACATTTGGGTCACTGGTCACCTGGCGTTGATGTTCGGCGCCCTGGCTGCCGTCTTTGGGTGGGACCGAGTCGGAGCTGCCTTGGCGCACCTCGCCCGCAAGCTCTTAAAGATTCCCACCCTCCGATACGTGGACGATTTCTTTGGGCCGTGCGCACCCGCAACTAAAGAGCATACCATGGCATCGCTGGCCAGACTAGTGCGCCTGCTCCTAGGTCCAGGAGCGGTTTCCGATAAGAAGCTGGAATGTGGCGACGAGCTGGAGATTTTGGGCCTGCATGTGTCCTTTTCTCTCAGCGGGATCAACTTGTTTCCCGCGCCCAAGAAGGTGCGCAAGTGGCTTTTCTTGATCAAGCAAGCGCTCGACTGCGGGACACTATGTGCCGGCCAAGCCAGCAAGCTGGCCGGCGCTCTCAGCTGGGCAGGTCAACATTGCTTCGAGCGGCTAGGGCGTGCGATGTTGCAGCCCCTGTTCGCGCAGCAGAATGCGCGACGGGGTGTCGTTCGCGCCCCGCTCAACTTGGCGCTGTCATGGTGGGCGGAGGTGCTGGCCCTCGGCATCCATCAGTCCAAGCCGTGGGCGCAGCTGGAACGGCAAGAAGTGCACTTGTTCGCTGACGCAAGGGGCGGGTCCGATCCACGGCTCGCCGCCGTGCTGTTCGTCGATGGTCGCGCCTTCTGGTCCGACGCCCCTCCAGACCAGGAGCTGCTGGAGGACTTGGCGCCGCGCCGGGACTCTCAGATTATGGCGTTAGAACTGCTCGCTATAGCGCTGGGATTAGCTACCTTTAGTGAACTGCTGGCGGACCGCCGAGTGGTGATTTGGTCCGACAATGTGGGCGCAGAAGGGGCAGTGCGGAGCGGTCGCGCTTCCGCTTGGGACCACTCCCGCATCATTCACGCCATGTGGTTCCTCATCGCACGCACCCGGTGTTCGCCGTGGTTTGCGCGGGTCCCATCAGCAGAGAACATCGCCGACCTTCCGTCGCGGGAGGAGTACGAGTTGCTACGTGTTCTTGGGGCGAACTTCGTGACGCCGCGCTTACGCGCGGCTGAGTTCTTCGCACCGGAGACGTTTCTGGCCCGCGCTCTGCCGGCGGGAGC